TTCTCATATTGAAACTAGCAAGCATCATAATTCTTTTCACATCTTCATAAATTTCTGCAGCTTCTTCTTCATCATCTGTACCATGAATCAAATCATCTACGTAAAAATTTTCTTCAAGAAGCTGACAGATCTTCGAATATTGTGCTTTCAACTTTCTTGCGTGATGCTTTATAGTTGCTGCTAGTAAAAAGGGGCTACAGGTTGCTCCGAATATTACACGCGTCATTCTTAAAATCGTCGGTTGCTCCTTTTCCTTTGAAGTCCAAAGAAATCTTACTGCATTTCTGTCCTCAGGCTTCAACAGAATTTGTAGAAAAGCAGCTTCGATATCTGCAGCAAATGCTATTTTGTGTTGACGAAATTTAATTAGCAAATCTAATAATTCAGGGTTTAAATTTGGTCCTGAATGTAAGCAATCATTTAAAGATAGACTGTCATGAGTATGCGAGGAGAGGAAGCATCAAATACGACCCTTAATTTTCGTAGAATCGTGATCTTCTCTGATTACACAATGGTGTGGCAAATAATAGATGTTTTCTTCAGAATTCTTCGGAGCTATTCCTTTATTTAGATAATCTTCAATTACCCTTGAATACTTGTCATAAATTTCAGGATTTTTCTTAAACCTTCTAAGTAAACTGTTCCATCTGTTTAAGGCGATGTTATAATTACTACCCATTTTGTTCATATTGTCCTTCCAAGGTAATGAAACTTCATAACGATTGGTTTTATATTCAATAGTTTCTTCAAATCTACGCATAACTTCAGTGTCATTTTCATTTATTGAATAGTCATGTATTCTAATTGCATCTAAATCCCATAGCCTTTTTAGAGCTGCACTAATTTCCAAAATATGTGCATGTGAAGTATTCTCAACAACATTCATTAACGTAATTCCGGAACGAAATGTAGAAACATTACTTAATGCTTTAGTTCCACTTATAGTGTAACCAAATAAGGTTTCAGAGGCAACAAGACCCTTTGATAATCTCTTAACCTTCCCAGTGGATTAATTTCTGGAGTTTCAAGAGCTTCAATTATTATTTTCCCAGGTCCACATACATCTTTAAGAATAACCTTAACCTTTTAACTGTAGGCTCAGTAGAGCCGAAGGTGTAAATATGAAGTCCTTCTTCCCCCACAACACTTAATTTTAATTGTTTTGATACTTCTGTCAGGATGAAAGATTTATGAGAGGCAGAATCGAAAATGAGTCTTACATTTTTTCTTCTATTCTGACCTAAAGCTATTGCATTTGCAGTTTGTAAATAAACCCTATTTTTGTTATCTCTTTCCGAAATTGACGCCACCACTGTGTCTGTTTTAAGCTCACCTTTATTTTCCCGTTTATTTTCAAATTTATTATCATGTAAAATAGTATTATGCCTTAATGAACATAAATCACAGCATATATCCGAGCTGCAACTGGCAAACGTATGAGACTTACGAAAACATAAATAGCATCTGTTAGCCACTTTTAATTTTTTTCTTTTTTCCTCAATCAGAAATTCCAAAATGTTAGTCACTGTTGTTTCTGTGTCAGGGGTTAAAGATCGATTTAACTCTAAAACTAATTAGCTAGGAAGTATCCTCATTAACAGTGGGCATAATAAATAGCTGTAAGAATTCGAAGTAACGTTAAGGGAATCAAGGCTTCTAATTTCAATTTCTAAGCTATCATATAAGTTACGTAATGTTTTAATATCATCCTTTTTTTTTTTTTTTTTTTTTTTTTTTTTTACTGGCTTTAAATTCAGCAGACAATTCATATGTGCGTTTATTAAAATGTCCTTTCTACCAAACCTTTCTTTCAGAATATTTATTGCCTTAGCATAATTTTCGGCAACTAATGGTAATCCCCTTATTGACATTAAAGCTGTGTCCGTTAGTAAAGATGTGAGGTAATTAAATTTGTCTACATCCTTTAAAGCAAGGTTATTATGTATAGCAGATTCATATTGAGCCCAAAAACTTTGAAATTCACATATTTCGCGTTTAAATTTATTTATGGTTAGTTTTATAAGTTTAGCGCCATTTGTATTTGTGTTCTCTACCATATCTATAGTAGCAGAATTAGATAGCATCTCGTTTAATTTAACACATTTTCTATTTCTAAATATTTTACTGATCTTCGATTTACACAAGGTAATTTTATTTTTATATTCCAAGCTATCCTGTATTTCAGTTTCATACTCTTTTTCATCTGTTAGGATAGATTCGATTTCAGTGTTCAATATTAGTATACGTTTTCATTTTCATTTAAGATGGATAAATCATCTTCTAATAAATCAAATTTAATATTATCCGATTCTATTTCCTTTTCCATTTTAGCTATCAGTCTTGTTACTGATGCTCTTAACATTCCTCGCTTCTTTTTTAGTGCTTTTAACTTATCCATCTTAATAATCAATATTCAATCACTAATTGAACAATAATAAATACTTAAATCACAATATATCTAAAGATCACTGTTATCTCGGAATTTCGGCACCATGTTGCAACTTATGATCTTTTTTCTTATTCTTATTATTTACATTTAACAACATCGATTAGTGAATTTTTGCTTACCTTTCTTGATGAATATCCACAGGAATGCTTGGAATTCCTTTTCATTTTTATCACACAGAAGCTTTATTTACAATCTCGCTTATGTACAACAATTGTCTGCTTACATTAGAACATTCATCATGGTTTTTTTTTTTTTTTTTTTTTTTGTTGCCACTACATTTATCTCAAAAATCCGCAATGCGGTAAGAAAAATATAACAAGCTAAAAGTAAAAAACGCTGCGCCCTCTCGTGGCCAGCTACATAAACTGTAACACCTAAGTAAGTATTTTAAGTGAGAGGCGTGGTCAATAAAATGTCACAGAATTTTTATCTCAAGAATGGTGGTATAAACTGCCTATTATAGAGACCACAAATAATATAAAGCTTTTGCTTGTCTTAAAAAATTCTCTTATTTTTAATTGTTTTTAATTAAATAAAATATATTTGCTAAACTAACCCTTAATATCAATGTTTCTATAAAAAGTATAATTCAAGAATAACAATAATTTTTTTTTTTTTTTTTTTTTGAGTAAAATAGTAAAATAACGGGAAGGTATTATAAATTTGATAGCATTAAGAAAGAGCGAGATTGGAAAAATAATATTAAATAAACAAGAAAAATTATCAATGATGTGAAAGTACTTAGTTCAAAGGAACCCAGTTGATTAAATGAAGAAGCTTTACAGATAATTTTTGAAGATCCTATATTAAAATATAATTGACCATCGTACTAAGCTAAAAAAATTCTTTTTTCCTTTTGAAAATTAATTCATAGTCCCTGACGAGAATTTTCAGTTTGGCCAATATACACGAAATAGCACAATGCATATCAAACAATGCTAAATTATACAAGAATTAAAAGCACATATGAGATCTTTAAGAATCGAAAAATGAATTTTATCTGATACTGATACGTGAAAAAAAGAACTTAAATATTGAACTTATGGAGAAGTCAAGAAATTTTGTAATTGATAGTAAATTTAAGTAATTGGGTACGTGTCAGTTAAACGTCACTGTTGGCTTAGTGTCCTGTTGACTAAATGTCTCAACAGTTAATTGTCCCATAGCTAAATGTCCTGACGGCAAATTCTGTGTGTCGACTAAGTGTCCATGTCGGTTAAATGACCTGTCAGCTAAGTGTCACGGACCCGAAACAGAACATTATAAAGTGCATTTTACCGTCAATAAGCTGAAAATTAAAAGTATTAATAAATGTCGTTCAGTTTTCACCCTTGTAAAGTGGTGATTTCTCACATGAAGTAATCCTGAAACTGTTAAATGAATCTTGTGACGAAGATTCATCAGAAAATATGCATTTATAAAGATATTTATATGTTTTTATGAAGCTCAGAAACACCATTATGTTAAATGTAAAATCAATTATATGTAAATCATTTGGTGTCTCTTCATTGTCATATGAAAAATAAAACATATTTCATCTTAGCACATTGCATTCTTTAATCATACATGTATCGAATAGAAAAGAACAACCAAAACCATAAGTATTTATGATTTCATTAAGTTTAGCACTGACATTTATGCATTGTAGACTAAATGGCTAAAAAATATGCCATGAAGTCAGTATCATAATGCTCTCGAATAAATGCTTTAGTAGTTTTTTTAATAAAATTTGGTAGAAACAGTGCTAAGAGGGAAATTATATTTCAAGAAAGCACTTGGACAAAAACTGCACCTAAATTTCAAATTACTGTAAGGACTGTTAAGTTGCAACGTGTAAAGACCACAAAACTACAGCTATGTGATAAATGGAATACAATCTGTGAGTGGGTTGCTTATACCATATTCATTCATATATTTTTTTGCCTAAGTTTTGAAAACTTTTTAAATATTCACATATTTGTTCTCTTTCCTCAAGGCATTCAGAAAGGCAAATCCCCCTAAATTTAAAAAAAGAGTTAAATACTACAGAAAAAATTTTTAAATGGAAGATGTCAAATTAAAAACTCTGTGTTGGTATCATAGATAAGAGCACATGAGAAAGGGTGGTTGTAGTCTTCTTAATGAGGAAGTGACTTGAAATTCTGTGCATCCAACAACCAGTTGTTCTTCTGGATAAGAATTTACTATTAGTGCTGGACAGCTTCTGTGAGCATCTCATGGAAAATGTTTAAAAAAAAAAGAAAGAAAGAACAAACCCATCCTATCATCATTCCAGGAGGACTTGCATTACTTCTACAACCACATAAGATTTTTGAACATAACTGCTCAAAGACTGCTACTGTAATTAATGTTTATTTTGAACTTCTTTTTTACATTTTTTTTTTAAATGAGCTGTGTGCTTTGTTATGAGTTTTTTGCAGTTTTAGTTAAAATATTCACCACTATTATAGAATCTTATATGATGAATGAAATTTAAGACATGTTCTAAATGTAATATAACTTTATGCATCATATTTCTGTATAAACAAATCTTTGATTTTTCTCTCCTCAGATTATTCCAACTGATTATGTGATTCATTTACACTGCTTTACGGATACTTGGACGTGGGCCCAGAAGTGGCTTGAAACATTTCCTAACCTCTGCATTGGAATTACGAATGTTGTAACATTCCCATCTGCGGAATCAGTTCATGAAGTTGCGAGGAATATTCCACTAGATCGTTTGCTGTTAGAAACGGATGCTCCATATTTTCTTCCAAGAATAGTAAGAATTTAAATATTTTTATAAAAATAGTTTTTTGGTGTATAATCAGAAGAGAAACATGCTAATGTATAATTTAGAAATTGGGCAAAAAAACAACCTTAAGATTGCCATAGATTCTGAATAAAACTCTATTGAATTCATAGGGCATACTACTTCAAAGGAAAACTCAATCATCATTTTTTAAGCATACACAAGAGATAAAACAAAAACATTGCAAATGAGGATATCTTTGTTCTATCTTTCCGTCCCAAAGTGATTAAGTGGCTTTCCAGTACTTGCCCGTGGTGGTAGAGTTTATCAACAGGTCAAATTCCATTGTTGGGGAAGTGGCAAAATAGAGGCAAACAAGAACCCCTTTCTAAGAATTCCAGTTATAAAACAAGAGAGAAAGGCATGTAAAAATTATGATTTGTGTCAAGGCCAATTTTTTAAGAAGTATTCTATAAAGACATTTGTTGTTAGGCAAACAGCCTCAATTTCTTTGCTGTAATGAAATACCTAGTCTAATGTAATTGTTTAAATGAAAATATGGTGATAGTGGTTTTTGTTTTTTTCCTCCCAAATTCATTTAAATCAATTGCTTCTTTTTGAAATGTAGACTGAGTTTTCAAATGATATTTCAGATTTTATAAGCTTATTTTCACATGACAGATCATGTATGCAATAACTATATATTACAACTGCAATCTGTACTGGGTACTCCCAGCCTTTCTCTTGCATCAACATTTTTTTTAAAGAAGTTTTCTTCATCGACCCTCCCCCTTACATTTTTCTTTGTAATATACAGCATAAAACATAATCATAATACAGATACTTGCACATAAGTAATTTAATTAACAATTAGACCAAGAATTTGGAAAAAAGTTTTGAAAAAAAATATGTTAGATTGTTTAATTTTTTTGTATTATTATTATTATTATTATTTTATTTTTTACAAACAGACAAGTTTTTTAAAAACAAAATAACATTCTAATTCTAAAAAGTTAGATTTCAATGAACGTGATGGCTGCACTTGATTTATTGATTCAGTATTTTTAATACATAACATAAGATTTTTTTTTTTAATTCTTAAATCACTTCGTAAAAAAAAATCTTCAGCTTGGATCTTGTATTCTGCTGTAAGGTATTGATTTGATAAAAGTCTGGTTCTACTATATAAGAAAAAAATAAAAGGCAATAATCTTATTTAGTAACAACTTTTATTTAGGGATATTTCTCTTGGATCACTTTTAAAATTACAAAACGTAACATACATATATGTTTTGAATAAGACTTTAGCTTGAACGTCCTCCTTCATTACAAGTCAACTCATTGAGGTTTATTTTTTTTATATTGCACTTTTTTGCATAAAAAAGTATTATTGATTTTTAAAATAGATATAAAATAATTTTTAATGTATTCTTCCCTCAGATTTATTTTATTTGATTTTTCCTTACTATGTGATATAGCTTTACATCAGTAAACAATTGACTATATATTTTACAATATCATCTGTGCATGTGTGTATATGTAATCAATGGAATCTTCATTATGCTGATCAATTAATTGCCCTTGCATTTGGCTCTACAATTTCATTGACCTCCAGACCATCAATACCAATCCCTTTGGAAACCCCTCACTCTACAAAATTAAATTTAAAATGTTCATTAAATGATAATTATTCCTTAATATATATTAATTTACTTATATTTTATAGACAATATTTAATGTAAAAAATTTGCGCGTTTTGTCATGTACAACGCATCTGTATAATTTTAGGACTAAATTTTCTGCATTCCCCATAAAGCTGTCGCATGAAATGTTTATAAACACAACTTATTCCCAAAAAAATATCATCTGTTTACAATGATATTTTATTATTAGATGCATTATAATTTCAAGCAGTGTAGATGTATGCATTGTAATTTCATGCAATCAATACCTGAGACAAGTATTCAATAGCTGAACAGCAAGAAACATTAAATTTTCTTTCCACAGTGCATCTGTTGTCAAGTAGCTCACTGCAGTTAAAATGCGAAGATGTGTAACTATTCTTAATTCCCCTCTTCCTCATGTGTGATGACTAATTTCAGATTTCTGCAGAATATTTTCTGTTTTAAAAAGTTTACTGTCAAAGGGCACCATTTCAATAGACAACTGGGAGCATTCCAGGAGCAGATACCTATGAAATAAACAGAAGTTTTGTTAACATGCTGAGAGATTTTTGGAGTGTAGAGAATATATGTAAAAGGCTATAATTATCGTTGCTTTCTTCAGTCATCCAATTTGTACTGACATGATCGATCCATAGACATTTTCTTAATAACTGTGCCAGAGGAACAAGAAGTGACAACAATAACAGTTTATGCAGTAAAATAAATGGCTTTAAATAGCCTAAGGGAGGCGGGACAGAAATAAGGCAAATTTTTTCTAACAGATGAGGAATACTGCAGATCACCAAAATCACTCACAGGGTGAAATCTGTAGCAGTAATCACAAAGTGAGATATTCTTTTAGCAAAACAGTCACAGAATGAATTATCAGAGCATTCAACTATCTCATTACTACTGATAATAAAGTAGATTTTTCATTTGTTGGGCTTCAGAAACTTCTAAAATGTTGCTAGATTAGTGAGATATCGCAAAGTGTGGTAAGAGGCTTTTCTGCCTTATTCTCTGATTCTGCTTAAGCTATCTTTACAATTTAAATGTGATATGTGAAATAATCACATACAAATGCATTAAGTAGCCAAGTTATTCAAGTAAATAAAAATAATTAAAACAAATGCATAATGAAATCATGTAAGTTGCTTTTTTCTTCTACTATTAGAATGTTTCTTTAAATGAAATTATAATAGTAATAAAATTTGCATTTAATTAAATATGTTTTAAAATATCTATTCAGATTGCTAGGGGACGACGCTGGTCTCATCCAGGTATGGCCATACATGTTGCTGTTCAAATTGCTGCTCTGAAAAGTATTCCCCTAGAAAGAGTTCTTCGAGTTACTTCAATGAATACAAAAAGACTGTATCATTTATAATGATGTATCCTATTTTTTTAAATTATGCAGTTATTGACCGGAAAGATTTATTTATTATATGTCTAAATTAGATTATAATAATTTTTTTTTTTTTTTTTTTTTTTTTTTTTTTTTTTTTTTTTTTTTTTTTTAACATCTGAAAATTTATTTGTTTGAAATACTTCATCATTCTAATTTTGGAAAATTTCAGTTAATTGCTATCTTTCGTATTGAATTTACATAGTTGAAATATTTATTTATTTACAATGTTTTATTTTCATTTGTTTGTCTTCCCCCCCCCACACACACACACACAAACACAAGGTTTTTTGGCTGACTGTCCATTTGCTATGATAATAGTTTTGAGGAAACATCCCTATGTGAAACAGCTTTTTATGGCAAATAATTGGTCCATTTTCTTTCATCAATACAGGATCTCCACAAATGATGTATAAAATTCTATCCTCCTGCATGGTGAAAAATACGATTTCCTCCCTTCTTTTAGGAAAGAAACAGGAAACTGTTTAAATATGACGATACTGTTCGACTGTGGATTTTAGATAAATATGTTAAAGAGGTATGTCAGGTATTTGTAAGGAGCTCGAGGAAGTTGTTCTGCTTTAGCTGAAAATGCCAGTCAGTGTTCTTCACAACATGTACGTCTGTAAGCACATAAACTGCAAATAAGACTCTGATATATTGGCAGTGAGTGCAGTTGACATGCATTAAATCAAGTACTGCTTTTCTTCCTGTGATCTGTTTTAATCTGTTTTAATGATGAAACAACATTCCATGTAAGTGGGAAGGGGTAGAATTTGGGAAGAGGAATCGGAGAATATCCATATGATAAGAGGAATAATATATCCCTGAGCATATTGTATAATGTAGTATAGTGATGGACAGCACTCAAACTGTTTTCTACAAATCAAACTGCTATCTGGACATGTTACTATAGTTTTTGTTATATCACAAATTAAAGATATTTCTGACATTATTTTTCAACAAGACATTACCTGCATATTGAGCTCTAGTAGTTTGATGATGTTCAGATAAATATCCAAGCCAGTGGACTTTATAAAGAAATAATAGATAGCACAGAAACTAATAATTCCTTATAACTTTTTTCATGTAGAGTTATATCAAGAATATGGTCTACAACAGAATTTCTTAAACTGTGGATGCGTGTTACGGGTCCTGCATCAGGGAGTCGCAAAAAATTTAGCAATTTTGATATTTATTTAACTAATTATAATAATTTTATAATTGCAATATATTTTTGCATAATGTATCTGAAAATGGATAAAGATAAGACAATACAGACAAAGAAAAAATGAAAACATTTCGACGCATTTTTTAAAGTCAATGACCTAAAACTGCAATATTACAAGTGAAGAAACTGATAGTTTCACTCATGTATGTGTCGGATTTGTGCAATGCTTATGGGGTCCCACAAAATTTTCATAAATATTAGGGAGTCGCCACACGAAAAAGTTTAAGAAAACCTGGTCTACATGATATCATCATGTCTACTATATACTACAAGCTTGAATTACTGCAGCCCTTGAGTAAATGGAAATATCATTTGTACAACCTGTTTGCGACCCAGTGTTTCTATATCGTGTAATTCACAAATTTGCCATTTTTGATGAACCTGTGCGATTAAAATTTATGTGTATGGAATTTTGCAAAAGTTTTGCTACTTGCTCTTTTCCTTGTGCTAGGTTTTCACAACTTTAAGCTTTATTAATATGTCATAAAACACTTATACGTAAAATAATGTATTAACTGAAATTAATTCACTGAGAAGCATTAACAGTTAAAATACATAAAAAAGTAATGAACTGGAAAAAGAAACTGCCGGCTCAAAAAAAAAAAATAGCACAAAAGTGCTAGCAATCCAAACTTGAGGAAGCACTTGACAGTGGTTATGAACAAATTAATTTTAAAATTAAAATCTAAATTAACCGAGAATTAATGAAAAGTAAAAAATGAAAGTTTAAACTATGGGTAATTAGCACTGTAGTTTTAAAATTTCCATCAAAATTAAGATACATACCAATAATCGAATTTCAGTCTGTAACTTACAAAACCAATGGAGACTGAATTTGTGATGAACCAGAAGTCATATGAACAGGCATAACTATGATTTCAACTAAATCATATAATATCTGGTGCCATGTTCTACTTTTTATGACTTTTTTATCCTTCTTCTGCTACTTTAATTGAAAATTTTCTGGGAACACTAGTGGGGCCAATGGTGCACATACAGAAACACTTTGCCGTCCAAAATTTAAACAGCAATCTTTGCATTAAGCTGTTTAATACAATGTATAATTTCATTTTATATGCAACCTCAAACTGTATACATCATTTGGACTCTACAGAATTTTACATTTGGAACAAAGTTCATCATTTTGTAAACATGGAAATAAATTTCATCCCTATGTTTCATCCCTATTTCCATGTTACAACCCACAGACTAAAAGAATCAACATGTTTAAGTAGTATTTTTACAAATGATTACGAATTTTGACTTTTGCAAATTATAGAAACCTGTGAAAAGATGCCATAAAAGTTTAATATGTTAGAGGCTATACTTTCAAAATAGTATTAAAAGAATCAATTGTACTAGTGTCATTGTGGGATTTTCTTTTGGCAATATAACTGAGAAATATGACTATGATATTAAATAAAGTAACTAGACAACATAAAAAATGAATTTTAATTTAATTTTAAAGGATTTTATAAATGTGGATAATGATACGTCATGAGATTTGGTTCGTAGAAGATGTCAGAGAATAAAAATTCAGTTGAAAAGAAAGCAAAAGTGAGAATTGCTCCCACTTATGAAGAGGCAGTAAATAATTTGTAGATGCTTCACCATTGTATAGAAAATCGAGAAATTTTTCAATTGTTATCATTTAGTACTCATTGAAAAGATGTAATAACGGCTATTTTTTTTTAAATTTTATGTTATGTCATTAGTAAGCTATTTTATATACAATTGTAATTCTGACTAAAAAAAAGGATATTCCCATTTAAGAAGTTTTTATTTGTGTTCCTTGAAAAACTTAGTGGATTCTGCTGCATATTTATAATTTACAATAAAAAATGCATATTTACTGTGCTATGCATTCACGTTTTGTTAAATACTAGCCACTACGTGGCCAGCCCTTGTCTGGTTTATAAATATACCAGAGAAATGCCTAAGGAAAATGTACTGGAAAAACATTAAATTTAAAAACTGCTCAAAATTTTACTCTCCGGAATAACTTTATAAAAAAAATTCAATAAAAATGTATTACATGTAAAAAAATTGCAATGAAATACGCAACATCCCTAAATGCAAATATTAATTATCCTAATAAATAAATTAACCAACTTCCTGTTGCCTTCTCTTGACTAATGTCCAGTACCCAAGAGGAATATTAAATTTAAAAACTACAGAATTATTGCCCTCATATTTCTGTGTGGCAACAGCGATATAACAGCCATTGTTGCTGATGTAATGAGAGGGAATTATGGATTTGATGCAATTTCATCAAAAAACATAAAATTAAAAAATATTATTCGAGTTTTTAAAAAAATGCTTCGATGTGCACTGGCTATTGTCTAGATCAGGGTTGCCACGCTACCTGAAGAACCGGGAAAAGTCAGGGAATTTAAGTATTTTTGTCAAAATCTGGAAAAGTCAGGGAAGTTCATACAATGATCCCGCCAAAAAAGCGATTTTTGCGCCGACGTCGGAAGAGATAACTTTTTTGGCGAATTATGTATCACGTGAGTGTCATTCAGGTAGCTGGCATAGAGCCAATTTTCGCAGCTCCAATTTGATTGTCTTTTAGAAAGGCAAAGCAACTTTCCCGGTTAGAATCAAAGAATATGTATTGTAAAGAAGGAAAACCTCTCTGCAACAGACGTGGCTCCGTTCCATCATAGAGGGAAACAGCTGTGCATGTCTGATATATCTGTTGCCAAAGCTCGAAACTGGTGTCGAAGTTCGAAGGTCACGTTATCAAGAGTTCATAAAATGAATATCGTTTAAAATTTCGTTAACGACTTGCGCTAAAAAGACGTGCCACGCACGTCGAGATGCTTCTGTCTCAAACCGTGAGTGATGTGAACACCACGTCGATAAGCATTTATCGCAAAAATGAAAATAACGTGGTGCACACGTCGCCTAACAACGAGATTATTTATTTCTCGAGTTACAGCTCTGGATTGCACTCGCAGATGCGGAGCGGCGTAAATGAGACACTTTACCGCTTGTTATATTGTAGCGCACGGCACCGCAACCGTGAAGTTTAGTCTTAGCACAAGGGGTTAAACTCTAAAGGAAAAGAAAACATTTTTTGGCGCAAGTAAATTAATTCATGGATTAGTTATTTTCAGGGGAAAAAAAAAAAAAAAACTACGAAAATCCGTTTTTAAAATTATTGCGTGGATTTTTCTCAATAATTTTAAAAACGGATTTTCGTAGTTTTCTTTTTGTCAAAGAGTGTTTCTTCTTAACACGTGTTTCTCAATTTCCTGTACACATCGCAGAGAGGGAATTTCTGGCCACCAGGTTCCGTCGCCAAATCCCTTGGCAAATTTTCCCTCCGCATTCTAACGGCGTAATAGCATTTTACTTGTATGGAACCTTTTCTTCTTTACATAGACGTTCTTTGGTTAGAATAATAATGAGATTTGGCGACATCATGATGCGCAGTAAACGGGTCATTTTGGTCTTGGCGACAATTTTCAAAATCCGGCCAAAACCTTACCGTATACTAGAATTTTACAGCAAAATCTTTTTAAACCTTTTTTTTTTTTTTTTTTTTTTAAATAAATACCTTGCCATTTTGCAGTAAAATAAAAAATAGTAATCAGTCATCTAGGCTAGCCATGTAATATAACTATATTCGCTAAAATATCGTTGATTATTCTAATTCAATTTTTAAGTAATTATTTTTATGTTATTCATATAATTTAATGTTGCTTCTTCCCTCTAAATTTATTTATTATTAGTAAATAATATTTCCAAATTTCAGGAAATTTTCTCTGGCATAATCCAGAAATTAATTCTAGCAGTATGATGACATACCATCACGAAATTTAATGCACATATTTTTTCCTTATGTATGCTGCGAAATAAATATAAAATACCTCAATTTATTAAAATAGATTTCTTTCTTCCGTTTAGCTGCAGAATGTCTGCAAAAAAAAAAAAAAAAAAAAAAAAGCCTTATTTTGTTCCAGATTGGGAAGATTCTAATCTCAATCTTCAGTGGAGAAAACAACTCCTATTATAATTATATTTGTGTTTTCAAGTGTTAAGGTGCCTTTTAAGAACATACCTCACGCAAATTAAATTTACCTAAAATCTAACCTAACTATTTAGCATTGCGTTGTGATTTATAAGGACCGGATTAGCCTCGTCTTGAACTGGTGATGATCATGAGTAATAAGTAAATAAAACATACATTTGTTATCCAATGTATATATCTTAAAATTTATTAAGTGGAAAACTAAACAAAATTATCAAACAAAGTATACCAAGAATAATTAAGAATAAATGTCCTCTGGGATTTATTGAATAATTAAGTGAATTTGCTACACAATACAAGTAATACCATAATTAATTTACCTCTTAGCACAGCCAACGTACATTACGTGGATAGACTGGAATTTTCTTGAAACACACCTGGAACACCTGGAAAAGTCAGGGAATTTCATTCTCCTGTTTGAGTGGCAACCCTGCTAGATGTATCTATATACCAAATTTTGTAGCCCTGGGTCTAATTAGCTTATGCACAGCACGAACAAAAGATGCACACATGAAATCCCCTTCAGATTCTCTATGACATGGTATGTTGATATATATGCTAAATTACTTTAAAATTGCAGTTAAGTAGGTGCTTTCACTGATTACATGTCTGCTTTCATCAACCAATCTGAAGAAAGACTATTTGATACTGCATGTTCCATTTTATGTCCAAGATGATTATCTGTACGTGCAACTTAGAATGGATACAGTAAATGGTGTTAACAGTGGAAGATCTTCAAAAAACATTAGGGGATTCAGACTGATGAAACAGACGGGTCTATCAGAGCATGATTTCCTTCACTATAAATCTTCAGCAGATGTCTGTGCTGCAGAATTTTTTTTTATCATTATATAATATGTTTTTTCTTGTATGAAGGATTTTGTTATAACTTCCTGCAGGAGCTTCATATTTAAATTGCTAACTTGTTAGGACTTATAAGAAAAACTTGTGGGTATCCACATTATGCATGGGGAAAACAGCCATGTAACCTACTCCTTTGCTGAGATTTGGAATTACCAGTGTCCATT